TCCCCCAAAGTCTGCGCGCTGAGTCCTCTGTGCCAGGAGCCTCGGCCAGCAGAGCGGAGGCGGGACGCATCTGCAGAAGCCATCTCAGAGTCCGGCTTCCGAGTTGGCTGCTGCATTTCCGGCAGTGCCTGGTGAGCTCTGGAGCCCTGGCACAGGGGAGCCTCAGATGAGAGGGAAAACTCAGGGCCGGGTGGATGGCACTGCCGCAGGGAGGCTTCCTGGGAAAGCTGGGCCTCATTCGAGCTGCACTGCTGGACGAGGCTGAGAGGCTGGCACCAGAACCACTGCAGCCGGTTGGGATGGACGGGTCTCTTGGGCACTGGACAGGCACCTTTTGTGCCTACTCACTGATCCCAGCAGCTCTGTGAGGCAAGGGCTATGAGCATCCCCATCTTATAGACGAGCAAAGGGGGAAGGGACAAAGTCACTCGTCCAGGAGGCTCGGAGCTTCCAACTGGGGGCATGGTCTTGGAACCAGATTTCTCTCCTCGGGAGGCAGATTTCTTACCCACACAGTCCTATCTGGCCTCCTGCTCTGTCCCCTGAAGTCCACACTGCACGCAGCTCCAGGGCTGTCTTTCTGAAACTCACATCTGCCTAAAACCAGAGCCTGCGTGCTCACGCCTCCCTGCCCTGGCGCACGTGGGGCGTTTTCCTCCATGCCCTGCCTGATGCCTGCCTGTCTTCCTTTCTAAGCCGACTTCACTAGCCACCTCTCCTGACGCCATCGGTTCACAGCGCCCACCTTCTCCCTCCTCCAGCTCAAAAGAGCAGCTGCGGCTGCCTCTATCCCAGACCCCAAAACTCGTGTACTCAGCTGGGTACACCACCCCCAAACCCCATGCACAGCGAATTTCTGGAGAACGGGGTCAGGGAAGATTCCTCTCTGAACACTCAGGACCCAGAATGGCACTAGCTTACTAAACAGAGATTCAGAATTTCATTCACTCTACGTCTTTCTGAGCATTTCCCTTGTGCTAGCCTCTGAACAGGAGGCTGGAGATAGAGCAGCAACAGGCGGGCGGGGTCCCTGCCCTCGGAGGCCCACAGCGGTAGGCGAGGCAGAGAGCAGTGCTCACGCTGCAGGGGATCAGCTCCCTGACAGGTACCTGATCCAGCCAGGGCAGGGTGGGCAGGGGACCTTGGCTGACGCAGGGGATGCTGTGGGACCCTGAGGGCGAGAGGCCTGGGTCTGCGGCTTGCTGCCTTGATTGGCTGATTCAGTACAGAGATGTCCTCTCTGCCCTGCCCTGTGGGTGCCGGCGCCTCATCATACTAAGACAGGGTTTCCCTGGGAGGCTGGGGCAGGACCACTTCGGGCAGGGCTTTCAATGCTCCTGGAACAGGGCAGGTCCTTGGGCATCTCTTGGAGATAAGAACAGGGTTTTGGTTCCTTCCGGCACTAGTCTCAGGCCTGTAGAGTGAGGGCTGAGGCTCTGGGGCTGCTGGCCCCATGGGCCGATTTTACCAGAGAATAGACCTGACACAATAGCTCGATTGTGAGAGGCCTGGCTCCCCCCACCCAACACTTGAACAGTCCTGTGATCAGACTGTCTCACAATTGATGCGGACATGTAACGGGGCCGTCATAATGCTTTCTGCTCTAACCCCACACCCTGCTGTTACTAAATTAGTCATATATGGCTTACGGTCCCCGTGCAGGGAACCAACCCCAGGAGGGGGCTTCTGACATGACCTACGTGTCACCACAAAGTCCAGGCTGCCTGTAGCTGAATAACCCTTCTATTTGTGATGTTTCATATAAATTCACAAAAAAAAGAGACCCTATTCAGTGAATCGGTTCTTTCTTGAGATTTTTGCAGTGGCTGTCCAGGATGGGCGTGAGCTGGGGTAGAATGTGCAGGTCTGGGTTTGCATCCTTGCTTTAGGCCCTTTAGTGGAGAGACCTCGGGAGACTACTGCACCCTGAGCCTCAGACTCTATGTCTACAAAACGGACACAGCACCACCCATCTCAGGGACCAACTTGGCTCCACGTGCCTCCTCTTTGTGACTCTCCACAGCCGTGCGCATGGGCACGTGTGTGCATGAGTCTGTGATGTCACCGTCTGCCTCATCCTGCTGGGCTGAGAGCTCTACGAAGCAGAGCCCCTTTCCCTCTGCCTGCGTCAGTCCAGAGTGCCCCGGTCGCCAAGCTGACTCAGAGAGAGGCAGACGCCAAATGTGCCTGCCTCGGGCAGGGCTGCCGTGCGGTGTTCTGTTGCAGCTCTCGGCTGCCGTCTCCCTGAGTGTCCTCAGGACTTGCTCGGGTGTAGCCCAGTCCACAGTGAGGACCTGAGCTTTGGGTCTGGCCCAGGGAGTCTCCAAGTGAGGATGCGAAGATGCACAAGTGGCATCTCAGTCACACAGAGCAGTGCTTCCCCAAGGCTCTGCCTCCACTGGGCTGGTCCTGAGTCCTGCGGTGCTGATGTGGGGAGAGTGTCGCAGACACCCAGGCAGCCTGGCTTGGAATGCCAAGCGCTACCTCCCACCGGCCACCCTCCAGCAGGTGGGTGCATTACCGGGTCCAGCTCGTCTGCAAGGGGGCAGCAAGGCTGCCTGTCTGTCTCAGAGGACTTCCTTGAAGAGCGAATGATGCCTCGAAGGTGGGCGAGCACGTGCTTTCCAGATGGGGGCAGTGCACATTCTGTCCGACAGCAACCAGAGCAGGCGTGGCTGCTGGCAGCACTGGGCAGGGACCGGTGGCCGGTCAGGAGAGGGGAGTTGAGCACCTTGAACAAGGCACGGTGTGAGATGGAGGAAGACATGGACCATAGAGCCAGACAGACCTAAGTTTAAGTCCCACTTAATCACTTAATGTGCGACCTTGCAAGTTAACCTCTCTGAGTCTTCGTCTTCCCATCTGCAAGGTGGATGCCAAAACAAGAGCCCACCTCCTAGAGCTGTGGTCAGGATGAAGTGAAATAACGTACGTGCCTAGCTGAGCCTGTGGGTGCTTCGTAAATCACCATGGGGCAGAGGGGTAGTGAGGAGCCGCTCACTGCCCCGCCTGTGAGCCTGCAGCGATACCATGTAGTCCCTCCAGCCAGGTGCCGTGCACGCTCTCAAGACCTGCAGCCCTGGTGAATAGAAACATGCATGGCACCTGGTCCAGGAGGGCGCTCACTGCATGGTGTAACCAGTCACGTTTCCATTACTTGGTCTGTGAGTCCGTCAGTGCCTCTGCCGGAGCTACCCCATGGGCAGTGAGAGCGAGGAAACACCCACTTCCCCAGCCCCAGACGCCTTGTGCTAGAGAAGGAAATATTTAACACCAGCCTTCAGGATGCTTCTAAGAGCCCAGGGAGCCCCCAACGTGTGTGCCCAACTTTCAAATATCAGAAATTGCCTGCACACTTCCTCAGTGTGGGCTTCTGGGATGTGGACATGACACAGCCTCAACCCCACCTTCCAGATGTGAGGACCCTCTCAGGCTCCCGGAAGCCCCTCCAGTGTAGACAGTGGTACTGGGCACAGCGTGGTCTCTGCCTTGTGGGATTTTTGGAAAACCTTGGCCGGGTATGTTCAGAACCCCCGGGAAAGAATCGGGATCTCTGCTCACCCCTCTGTGTGGTTCTGAGAATCCTGACTGATGTTCTCTGAGGGTCTTAGGTCCCCAGGCACTGTGCTAAGGCCCATGATTACATGAACTCCTCCTGGAAAGCAGAAATGTGGTTCCAAGCGGCTTTGGAGCCACGCCACTGGGCTTGAGCCCTGGTGCCAGCACTTACAAGCCATGCGGTCCGGGGCACCTCACCTAACCTCTGCCTCAGTCTCCCCACCTGCACAGGGATTGGCAACAGTACCTGCGTCATGGGGCGGCTCTAAGGATTCTGTGGTTGATAAGCGAGCATTGGTCACTAACAGATGGGCCGTTACCACCCCAGGCCGTGGAGACAAGCACTGAGGTTTAGAAGGGCTGGCTCTTCTGCCAGAGCCACTTGGCCAGTGAGAAGAGCAGAACTGGAAGCCAACTCATGAGCACTACCCTACTCTGCCCCCACTTGGAAAAACGTATGTGGGGAGCATCTGGCCAGCTTCAGAAGCACGTTCTCAACTCTCCCCAGAGCCCGGGTGAAAGGAGATCGTTCTCTGAGTAACCGAACTGGCCTCTGGGAGCGCTCGTAATCCCACAGCAGGGCGATAGCTGACCCATGACACACATCACAGGGAGAGGGAAGGATCAGTGAAGAATTCCTGTTGGAAATGTTATCTAATGCCGAGTGCTTTCAAGGGAGCCTGCGCTCTCGCCGCGCCGTGGTGCCAGGAAAGCCCATCTCCCCGCATTTCTTGCCACGTCTAGCTGATTGAAGACCTGGGGTACCCTCTAGTGCTCAGAGGGATCCGGCATCCACAGGCATAGAGGGAAGGTCAGGGCAGCACTTTTCCCCAAGTCACAGTGGCAGAAACCTCTTGGTGACATGTCCCTTCCTGCACTGGACGCCTCAACTCCTCTCCTCGCCAGCTGGAGGGACTGCCTGGCTCCAGGGAACTTTCTGAGCAAGGGCTCCCGGCTGCCTTAGGACAGTTTGCTTTTGCTTTTGCCTCTGCGAACTTTTTAGCTGGTGCATAGGAACCCAGAGCTCAAAATTGACTTCCCAAGTCTCGGGCTACCCTGGCCGCCTGAGATTCCAGTCCACTGCTCCCTCAACACACACCTACACACGTGCAGTTGTCCACGGCTGCTGAGCTGTGCCCCGAGAGCCTCCTGCTCGCACCCCAAAGGCTCTTTGTCTGAAGGAGGAGAATGGGGCTTACTGATGCAGTCCTCAGACTCCCAGCCAAGGTCTTGTGCCCCCAAACCCCACCCCCTGCCCGGTGTCCCCAGGTCCTGCCCCAGCAGATGCCTTGTCAGGCTCCAGTAAAAGCAGGAGACCCCATCTATGGGATTCAGCTGCACACACCCCCTGGCTGGAGGGTCAGGGTTCTTGAAGCCCCAGTCACAGGACTAGCTGCTGCCTCTCACCCCTGCCCCTTACTGCCCCAGGGCTGGCCTCTTACCTCTGCCCTCCTTTTTGACTTGCGGGGCAGCTCCTCACATGCCTCACCTCGGCCGTCAGCGGGTCAGTCTGTCCATGGCCTCCAGAGGGTCCGGAGGCTCAGTCTGCACTGGCTGCCGAGCCCTGCCTCCCTGGGCTCACCGGCTCTGCCTCTGCTGCAGGGCTCCGGCCGGGACCGGGATGGGGCGGGCCGGGTCCTGCTCGGGCCGCTCACAACCTGCACCTCTCACTCGCAGTAGGGCGGGTGGGAGGCTGCCTGGGTGCCATGCTCTGCAGTGCGGGGGCTTGGCAGCAGCACTCAGGGCTCAGGGTCCAGCCTCAGGCCAGCTGCAGCAGCCTCATTTGAACTCCCAACTCCTTTGTGGAGCCTTTACATGCCGCCAGAGGAAGCTGTGAGCACAGCCTGACCCTGGTTGGCTGCAGGCGCTTCTCTCCACCCACCAGTGCAAGAGGATCCCCCAGGCCCCAGAGAGGCTCCGGGCCTGCCCTCAGCCCCAGACAGGGGCGGGCCGCCCGGTGATGTCACATTAGCTCCGGCCCCAGCTGGCCCGGCCCCTCCCGTCCGCCCTCTGCTTTGGCGGCCTTGGCGCGGCCCCCTCCTTCCTTGGCAGGAGCAGCCCAGCCAGCTCTGCTCCCCAAAGCCCAGGCAGCTCCCAGCGCGCTGAGCTGTGGCTTTCCCCTTGACTCAGGTGCTGGGTTTCAGTCTGCTCCGCAGTGCAGGCAGCCGGTGACCTAGCAGCGGGGAATTGGGGCGTCCCCCTTCCTGGGCTCACAGTGCTGCTCACTGCCCCACAGCGCCCCAGGCCAGCAGGCAGGCGGCCACCCTTCTTGGAGGCCTCCCTCTTGTCTCTAAGCCCTGGGGAGAGGAGCCCAAGGCGGCTGCACAGAAGCCAGCAGCATCCATCTGTCCAGGCTGCTGAAAGTTAGCAGCAGGCGATGGCTTAGGGCAGTGGAAATACCACAGGCTGGGGGTGGGACAGCCCGGGGAGAGGAGCCCTGTCCCTTCCCACCCGAGAGCCTTGATGGAGTCACTTCAGCTCTGTAGGCTGCTAATATACCTCCAACGGCTGCAACTGGGTTTCTGTGAGAAAGAGAATAGGACTTGGCACCGTGTCAAGGACGCCTCTGTGAACTGGCCTCCGGACTCTGGGACGGGCTAGCCCTGGTTGCACACCCCCAGAACCTCTTCTGTGTGACCCTGCTTGACCCTGGTTTCTTCATTGGCACCTGCCTTCCTGGTGAGCTCTTCTAGGAACAAATATTGCAGCTCCAGAGGCCAGAGCCCCCAGCATGGGCTTAGCCACACAGGTGGAGCTCGTGTGTGTTCACAGGATCAGCAGGAGAGGACCCCAGGAAGCAAGTGTCCTGCTGACCCATGGCCTCAGCAGCTGGGAATAGGTGCCCAGAGTGGGAGGATGGGAGGATTGGGGAGGTAGCCCCAGGGCACAGGCTTGTCTCCCTTCTTGGACAACACCTTGTGAAATGTGATGAAGACTCGGTTTCTTTTCTTTTCTTTTTTCTTTTTTTTTTTTTTTTTAATTTTAGCGAGGGGACCAGCAGGTGGTGTGGGGGTTAGGGTGCTGGATTCCTGTGTGGCTGACTATGGTTCAAGTCCTGGACTTGGTGGCTTGAAAATCACGATGAATAAATAGATTAATTAATTAATTAATTAAACATTTTTAAATGTTCTAGTAAGAATAGTGGCCATGATTTGTTTGAGAACAAATCAGGAGCATGCCTGGCACAGGTGGGCCATGTTCCTAGTCCCTGGGCAAACAACAGGTGCACTGTGGTCCTCCTCTTGTCAGGTCTGCCATTCCTGTGTGTGCAGGGAGCAGACTTTTCTTGTCTCAGCATCTCCCCAGCCTGCCCAGACTCTGCCCCTTTTCCTCTGTCATTATCACCTCTTTTTAGAAGGTGGTTCTTTGCTGAAAGAGCCCCTGATATCTTTCAGGCCATGACAGTAGCCAGAGGACTGGATTAGAATCATGAGGAAATCCTCCTTACACCTGCGGGGTGAAGTCCTCTCCTTGAGCTGCATCCTGCCAGCTTGAGATAAACTGGAGGTGGGGTGCACTGTGCCTGGCCTTCAGCATTTAGCAGTTGCCCAGAAACGTGTGCCACCACCACCACTGCCGCTGCCGCTGTTACTCGCCCCTGGTCGGTCTCCTCCTCACTCTCACCCAGACCATCCTCATCAAGCTTCTCACTTGATGACTCCTGGAGCTCAGAATCCCCCCGACCACCTCAAGGAGTGCCAGTCCCACATTTCCACGTGCCTGTTAGAAAGAAGTACCATGTGACATTTGAGGAGAACGGAAACTTCATTTTTCTTGTTATATATATTTTTAAAATATTTATTTATTTCCATTTGTTATTATTATTATTTTATTTGACCAGGGAGAGAGAGAGAGAAAGGGAAAGCGAGAAAGCAAGCCACCAGGTCTGAGACTTGAACCGTAATCACTTCCAGTGCCTTAACCACCACGCCACCTGCTGGCCCCACCTTTTTATTATTTATAGTATATTTTTTTAAACTATTTTAAATATTTTTTAACAGGATGAAAATTATGTGAGGTTTACCTGGTGGCAGAATGCAAAGGCTCTTAGTGTGCATCACAATTTGCAAATGATTTCATGTCTTCCCACTTTCTTGACAGCTACTGTTATTTCTGTTGGAAATGTGGTATACTGTGTAGATGGCAGGAGTGCATGTTTGTGTGTGTGTGTGTGTGTGTGTGTGTGTGTGTTGGGATGCACTTATAGGGGTGTGCTTGGGACGGGGGCAACTTGCAACTGCACAGTCCCACTAGCATCTAAATATCCCAAATTGACAATTTCCTCCTCTTTCAGTACTTTTAAAATGTCTTTCCATAGACTTCTGGCTTCTATTACTTTTAGAAAGTTTATTTTTTTCTTCATCAAAGAATGAAATTCATTTATTTGTTCTTTCATTCCATGAGAGAGAGACAGAGAGAGACAGATCCCAACAAGGTTTTCACACAGTGACCCACCCTCCAGTTTCAGCCTACCTGGATCATGGGCATGTATGCACATCTGTGTGCGCATATATATGTCTAGCACACTCAGGGAGGTCCCAGGATGCGAGCCCAAAACATTTCCTGTGTGGATCTAGTGGAGTTCCCACTGCACCAACACTGGCCCTGGCCAGTGTTTCTTATGATAGGTCAGCTGCCTTCCTTATTGTTCTTCCTGTATACATAATGTGTCTATTTTCCTCTGGCTTCTTTTAAGATTTTTTTTTTTAATATTTGATTTTTAGTGGTTTGAGTATGATGTGATGTATAATTTTCCTTGCATTTATTCACTTCATTGAACTTCTTGGGCCTATGGGTGGATTTTTTTGTTGGTGGTGTTTTATTTGTTTGGTTTTGTTTGTTTGTTTGTTTTATCAAATTTTGGGATGTAAGGGGAATTTTTGACTTATTGTATTTTATATATGTGTGTGTGTGTATACACACACATACATGTGTATATTTATGAATTTTTGCTCAGTTTTCTCTTCTTCCCCCTTTTAGTACTCTATCTGTGTATTTCTTATCCTGTAGCTCAGTGAAGTTCTATTGATTTATTTTTATCTTTTCTTTTCTCATTCTTCAATTTAGGAATTTTCTATTGCCTATCTTCAAGTTTACTAATCCTTTCTTATATATTATCTAATCTGCTCTTAATTTTATTCAGAATATTTTTCATATCAGATACTACATATTTTCGGTTTTATAGTTTTCACTTATAAAATAATTCCCATTTATTTTCTGGGATTCCCTATCCACTCATTCATTCTATCCATTTCCAGAAAATTCTATGCATATTTGTAATAGCTATTTTGAAATCCCTGTCTACTAATTCCAATGCCTGTGTTGTCAGTGGGTCTGATTTTATTGACCTTTTTTTCTCTTGATTTTGGATCACATTTTTGTGCTTCTTCACGTCTATAAATTTTTTTTATTGCATACTGGATATTGTGGATTGGATGATCCATTAAAGAGACTGTATATTATTGTCTTCCTCAAGAGTATTACGTTTTGTTCTAGCAGGCAGTTAGATTACTTGATCATGTGGAGGATTGATTTTTTAGGTTTTGTTTAGCTAAATTTATTTTATGTTTTGCCATTGCCCCTACCTAAGGGTGAAGAGGTAGGGTACCCAGAGGGAAAGGACTGTGGACTGAGAAAGGACAGATAGAAAAAAGTGGGAGTCACGTGGACCAGCATCTCTGCTGGAGAATGCCGGCCCTGAGTTCTGTGCTCATTCTCTTATAGGGAGGCAAACCGGCATGCTGCAGCTGTGGAACCAACTAGTGGTTTTAAACAAGCCTCTCCTGGCCTCTTTGGGCTAACACTGAGGTTTCTTCTATCTGTAAAGACCAGCAGGAGATTATGTCTTTGTTTAGAGCTTTCACGTGCCCTGCAGCAATAGTGCATAGACTATATCCACTTTAAGGCGCTCCCTGCATGCCATAGTCCTCAGTCATAACTCTTAGTCCTGGGCCTACTCATAAGGCTTGATTTTTCTGGGATTAAATCAAAAGCCTTAAATATTTGCCAAGCTGCTATAACCTGGTAGGACTCCAAACTCCGAACTCTAGCTGCCAAACAGTTGTTGAAAGCTCTTTTTCCTTGGAACTAGCAGATGGCATAGTGGTTACATCGCTGGACTCCCACATAGTGGGTCACTGTTCAAGTCCTGGACCTGGTGGTTTAAAATTCTCACCAGGTGCGTAAGTATGTATCCCCCAAATCCTGAGAGGAGAATCGAGGAGAAAGGATTGCAGTGTGGCCATCCCCTCTGGGGGATGATTTCTCCCTTTCTGTCTCTCTCTCTCTTTCCAGTGAGCACATGCTCTCTATAGCAAAAATCTTTCTAGAAAAATAATAATAATAAAAGGAGTCTCTTCCTTCCAGCACTAGAAGATGAAGGAGATGTGCTATCTTTAAAAGCCTTGTCAGAGCACCCCCTGTGGCACCTGTGAGGTGCCAAGCTCCACATTTTATAAGCATCATTTATTCTTCACCTCCCAAAACCCTATGAGAGAAGTGTTACTATCTATTTTACTATCAAGACTGAGACAGGAAGCGAGAAATCAGCCCCCAGGAGGGATGGCCACACCGCAATCCCTTCTCCTCTCAGGATTTTGGGCATACACACACGTGCCCAGTGTGAGTTTAAGCTGCTGGGTCTAGGACTTGAACCGCGATCAGCTACATGGGAGTTCAGCAATGTAACTCCACATTTTATAAGCATCATTTATTCTTCACCTCCCAAAACCCTATGAGAGAAGTGTTACTATCTATTTTACTATCAAGACTGAGACAGGAAGCGAGAAATCAGCCCCCAGGAGGGATGGCCACACCGCAATCCCTTCTCCTCTCAGGATTTTGGGCATACACACACGTGCCCAGTGTGAGTTTAAGCTGCTGGGTCTAGGACTTGAACCGCG